CCACAGTATCTTAAAATGTGCTGTCACTATAATGTATTTAGCAAAACGTCATTCACATCCCAGAGAGCAAGCAATTGAGCTGCAAGTTTGAAAATTACTTACTAAGCTATTGCTAGATTTTCCATGCTTCACAATTTTGTCTTGCACAATTTCAGCAAGTCTGCATTGCAAGTCTCCAGATCAAGGTGCTTTGCAAAAGTGCTGTACACTCGCAGAGTTCTTGCTAAGACCTGCAGGACTCTTGCTGTAGACTTGCCAAGCAAATTTGCTACAAATTCAAAAAGTGTCAACTAGAACTTGTGCTGCAAGTGTTCTGCAAGTCTACAACTTGCCAGGAATGTGTGCAGCAAGTTAACAAGAATTACAATTTAACCCTGCCACAAGTTTGTGGCAAGTTATCCTTGCTATCTGGCATGTAGCTTTGTGTGGATGCTTAAATCCTGCTTTTGTTTTTTTTTTGATTATGCTTGTTTGTTGCCTGACTTAACCGCCTGCTTGTCCTGATTACATTTCTGCCCTAAGATTTGGTACTACATTTTATTTTTGTCTGAACTCTCGGCTGCCACTCTCAAGGCAGCTGTCTGTAGTGCAACATCTACACCATAAATGGCTCCATAGAAGGCCAGATACTACTAGAATCTGCAGCTTGGTGGCAATCTGCCTCCTGCTGATCCACTTCTTTCTGCGACTGAGCGATTGTATCCAATTATAAAATGTGAAAGTGTTTCTATTTAATAAAAGTGCATGGGGAGACCTTGGGGAGAATGCTGTGCTCTCTCAGGTGGGAGGGCGGTTTCCCTGTCAGGTAGGCTGTAGAGGGACCCATGATTTCAAATGGTGATCCTGCTTACAGGTCATACTGGGGTTGACCAGGCCAACACAGGTGAAATGGAAGTAACATCCTTTCTAGTACATTCCCCCTTCCTCTACTAAAAGTCTAAAATATCAAGGGGTCTATTCACTAAGCTGCCGAAGGATCTAGCCGTAGCTTCGGCTGATCCTTCGGCTAGCTTCGACCCCAGGACCACTTTGGTTCAGTAGAACCGAAGGGCTGCTGTACAGGCTATTCACTATAGCCTTACAGCTCCCGGAGGCATATGCTTTGGCTCGACTGAGCCGAGGTGAAAGCCGAAGCTGGCCAAACAGCCGACAGCCTGCTACTGACTGCAGCGCGGCCACAGCCGACAGCCTGCTACTGACTGCAGCTCCGGCCACTTGCACAGACAGATCAGCATCCCTGATTACCAGATAACCAGGGACACTGATCCCCAGACAGCCCAACTCTCCCGGACGCTCCGGGAGTCTCCCGCTATTAGATAGTAGCTCCCGGCCCCCGGGAGTGGAGCACTTTCTCCCGGAAAGGTCGATCGAGCAGAGTAAACCTTTCCCTGCTCTGTTGTCTTTTTTTTTTTTCTTCTGACATTGGAGCTGTGGGCTGCCCTCAGAATAAAAAAAGAAAAAAAACAGCATAGGAATGCATAGCTACATTCCTATTGGCTATTTCAATTTGCAATAGCCAATAGCAAACTAGCTATTGCACCCGCTCACTGCTGCTGTCAATCAGCAGAGGGGACCTGAAGTTCTCCATCAGGTCCCCATTTAGTGATTGACAGCAGCAGAGGGCGGGTGCAGTAGCTAATTTGCTATGGGATATTGCAAAGTGAAATAGCCAATAGGAATCTAGCTATGCATTCCTATGGTGTTTTTTTTTTATTCTGATGGCAGCAGAACCGCCCGGCCAATAGAAAACAGTTGGGCGGAGCTAGCTGTCACTGCTAGCTCCGCCCAATCGTTTTCCATTTTGTTTTCTACTTTTTAAAACTGTTTTTCTATTCTGCTCGGTGCCACAGAGGTACCGAGCAGAATAGCCAAGCCAAATGCCGCTCGGCAGCATTCAGCTATTCACTCACTGCTGTTCAGCATCTATGAGAATAGGCCGAACAGCAGCGACTAGCCTGCCGGAGGTTCGGCCTTGCCGATCCAGATATTGGATCAGCTGAGTCGAACTCCTTCTGCACTTCGGGTCAGCAGAACATGCTGGGCATGTTCGGCCAACCCAAAGCCACACGAAGCAAGCCGATGTACGGCTGATTTCAGCCGATATTCGGCTGAAATCAGCCGTACAAGCCTGAAGTGAATAGCCGAACAGTGTTCGGCTCACTTCACTTCGGGTCGGTTATTCACTCAGCTGCCTACGGCAGTTTAGTGATTAGACCCCTAAGTTATCCTCTATCAAATTGTCACAAAGTGGGTTGAAAAGATTTATGTCACTTTCATTGAGAGAATACAAGGGCTTATGTTTTACTTCCTTTAAACTAGCACTGGATTGGATTATATGATGTTTTTTGCCCATCATCATTTTATAATTCTATAGTTAGTAGTCATTATGGTTTTAAGATTGTCCCTGTTTTGCTGCCTGCTGGGGTTACCATCTTTTACTGTGTATTGCAATGTTAGTTTGGGTAAACTGACCATTTCATAAATTTGTAAGAAGCATTAGAATTTAACTCTGTATATTTTGGGCCATTCCATGCTTTATAAATAGCTGCTATTGTTTATTAATTATGTTGTTTTACATTCCATACACGTTACCAAAGAGACACAGTCGTTCCCATGGCCATGCAGATCAAAAGCATTCTCACACTGTTAACGATCAGACGCTTTGTGCTTCTCATGCTAGAGTTTGGATTTTTTTAGATCCTTATACGTTTCGGTAAATGCCAGTTTATTTACCAACCATCACTGCACACTTATTTTATCAAAGTACATTCTTTCCAGATACCAACATTGTGGCTATTTATAAATATTACTGTACTTTAATCTAAGTTTAAAACATTTACAGTACTCTGAAGAGTGTGCTAATCTACATACAAATGTTTTATACCTCATAGAAGATTTAAAGCATATTTACAATATTTATTTATTTTTCATAAACACATACACTTAATTACTATTAATGAACATACATTACATTAATAAACATTGATGACTTTATTTCCAAATTTAGCTCAAAAAATTTCCATTAGTAGAGCTATTAGCATCCTATTAACAATCCCTAAATTGGCTTTTTTTCCCCTCAACTTTTTGTGTCATACCATAGACATGAGAATGCCTAAACATTTGTAATTGCTACAATTTTCTGCCTTGAAGTGGCACATTATCTCACAGAAATGCAGGGGTACCAATATTTTTGGCGATGACTGTATGTGTGTATGTGTGTGTATGTGTGTGTATATGTATATGTATATGTGTGTGTGTGTGTATATATATATATATATATATTTTATTTTT